ATAGATAGAGATATATATATAGAGATATAGATAGATATATAGATATAGAGATATATATATATCTTTCTATATATAGATATATATAGATATATATAGAGATATATATATCTTTCTATATATAGATATATATATATCTTTCTATATATAGATATATATAGATATATATAGATATATAACCCCTCACATAATATAATAACCCCTCACTATGAAATGTGTTATGACATACTATAGTATGCCTTTTTATGTTATGACATACCTTACTTTGAATTTGCCACTTCCAGCTTCTTTTTTACAAATGAAATTAATTTAAACCTGTAATAATAGATTATTTAGAAACAAGCTGGTGAACCAAAACAATAAGCAGAGTTCAGGTGTGTTCATCACTACAAAGGAACCCTTTCACTTTATAAGCTGTGCTCTGAGCTCGGCCATAGTCGGTCACAGGCGTCACCACAGTGTGGCACTCAGAGGCTCACGTTACTACAGTCTGGGACAGGAAGGAGTGAGCGGAGGGGCATTCAGTAGGTTGTTGTGGTGCGGTTGAAGAGTCCACACTGTACCTTTAAGAGGAAGTGGATTAAGGATTGAAAAACAAACAAACTACTGTAATCAGTTTATTGAAAGAATGAATGTTGTGAGTACTAATCCAGCTACCAGAAGTCCATCTAGTTACAAGCATACGTACCCTCTCTGTTTTAGTAACTATTATAAGGGTTAATGGGATGTTTTTCCTACAGACTGTACATAAAAAGAAAACAGGAAGTTGGATTTGTACATTATAAAAACACCATAACATCTTGGCTGAAAGTTAAAAATTGTACATAAATGAATTTTTCTGTATAAACAAATTTCCAAGATGGAACTCTCCCCAAAAATACTTCTTCTGCTCCAACATAATTGTCCCCTTTTCCTCATATTTTAAAGTTCACATACTTCAAAAATGGTTAAAAGAAACATTTCACTCCTCAAACTGTTTTTCATTAAAAAGTGGGTAAAATATAAACTAAAAGCTACCTTAAAAAAAAAGAACTAAAAAAAACTTTTTGCTTGTCGTCAAAGACAATTGTAAACTGGGAGTGACAAGCATCATAAATCTTCCTCTTTAGTACCTCATTATTTCTATTATTTCCAGAACAAAATCAAGCAAACATGAAAAAAGCAAAGCAAACCGCTGACTCTTTAAAACCAGCTGCTAAAGAAAGCCCTGGCAGAATTTTTGGGATTCAAATTCACACAAATTACTAAAATTATATACAAAGTACTAAAAACATTTCACAATAACTCAAAACGCTGGTGTATAAAAATAAAAACAAACAAAACACACGAGGTGGATTTTCCAGTCGTCTCTCAAACGTGAGCTTTGAATTCTGTCGTCAGACAATCAACGTGATTTCTCTTCAGATTTTTGAGGGAAAACTAAAACCATGACGCGATAACTTACAGAGAACCCAGCGACGCTGTAATCTGAGAGGATGTACAGGCAGCCTCATCCGTCATTTCTTACTCCAAACTCCAACAAGTTCCTCTAAAATAAATTTAATCAAAAACGTTTTCAGCACGGCTCTCTGATGCAAAAAGTCTCTAAAGTGCTCCAAAGAAAAACTGGGCTGACAAAAACAAAAGACAGAAGTGCCCGAAGAAGAAGAAGAATCTAACTGAATATGAAGCAAAGACTAATTATATTACATTTGGACAAAACGTTTGATGAAATACAGGGAAGGGAAACAAAAATGCTATTTCTGTGTTTCTGTTCAGTTCAACCAGTTAACTTCCTCCACCGAGCTTCTTTAGTACTTTGGCACTTTGGTGTATTCTTCTGTGTGAATGTTCCTGCACAAGCAGATGGACAAGATCATCCCCAGCAGCTGTCAAACAAAACACATACGGATCAATACATTTTATGTCATCGGTGCATTCAATATGTTCATATTTCATCTGTGGAGTTCAGGAGTCTGCCGCGTGACGTTAACAGTTTCTCATTATATTCTATTAAAGCTTGGCTAGGAAACTTAAGAGAAACCTAGCATGAGTGAGCAAGATCTAGAAAGTATTTTAAAATACTAATAATAAATCTTATGATGAAAATAAATAAAAACATGGCTGTTGTTGGTCGTCACGGCTGCCTTAGTCCCATGTAATGAGCACAGGGGTCGTCCAATCATTTAATTTGGGACAAAAATAATAGATTTCTTTCTTTTTTGTCAGAGCATTTGATTTATTATTACCCTCGCTTTAATTAAACCAACAATGTATTATTATCCGTGTATTATCTCCCGATTGTCTTACTGAATATCGGCCCCTGATAAAGAGCACATTTATGCGACAACAGTACGATGTGTCCCCGGGTTTCTCACTGATAAACAGAATGAGTTCTGTTCGGCCGACTGCTGCCAACACATCCGACTGGTGTGGACCAAACCAAGACACCTCCTTCTCACGCGGTCTTGGTGTGTTTTTTTTGACAGCTTTCATAGCAGCCTGCCCACTACGTTAAAAACAGACCACAACATATTCACGAATGATGGTTTACCTCAATCAGAGCCACTCCGAGGCAGATACCCAGGACGACCCCGAAGTTGGTGAGGAGCCAGCTCTCCACGCTGGTGGAACAACCCTAAAGTAGATCCACCAAAAACACATCAGAGGAACGAATGGACGAGGAACGCAGCCACATGACGGTAAACAGGTAGACATAATATACAGAAAAACGCTGTTTTACCGCATCGTAAACGGGCCAGTCGGACGTCTGAGCCTCACAGAATCCGCTGTCGGAGAAGTTTCCGTTGATGAGCAAGATCTTCTGGCAGGAGCAGGGAAACAGCAGCTGGGAGCTGTTGACGATCACCATGTTGCCGTTCCAGTCTAGATAGCCGGTCCAGCCACAGCAATCCATCTACAGACAGACAGACAGACAGACAGACAGACAGACAGACAGA